GGAAGTTGGGCCCCAGGTAGGCTTCAGAATCACCTCACTGTAGGAGGGTGGGGGCGCAGAGAGGGATGCTCTGACCCTCTCTAGGGGGATGATGGTATAGGCATGCGCCACCATGCCTGGCAATTTTTTTTTTTTTTTTTTTTTTTTGGTAGAGACAAGATCTCACCATGTTGCCCAGGCTGGTCTTAAACTCTTTGGTCTGAAGTGATCCACTTGCCTGGGCCTCCCAAAGTGCTGGAATTACAGGCATGAGCCACCATGCATGGCCCATTCATTTGTTCATTCATATTTATATAGGTCAGAAGTCCAATAAAGATCTCAATGGGCAAAAACCAAAGTGTTAGCAGGACTGCATTCTATTCTAAAGTTCTAGGGGAGAATATATTACCTTGTATTTTTCAGCTTCTTAGAGGCCCCCTTCTTCTATCTTCAAAGCCAATAATGTTGCATCTCTGCATCTTTTTTCTTTTTTTGAGGCAGGGTGTGTCCTGTCACCCAGGCTGGAGTGCAGTGACACAATCACGGCTCACTGCAGCCTCAACCTTCTGGGCTCAAGTGATACTCTCACTTCAGTCTGCTGAGAAGCTAGGACTACAGGTGGGCACCACCATGCCCAGCTATTTTTTTTTTTTTTTTTTTTTTGAGACAGAGTCTCGCTGTGTTGCCCAGACTGGAGTGCAGTGGCATGATCTTGGCTCGCTGCAAGCTCCGCCTCCTGGGTTCATGCCATTCTCCTGCCTCAGCCTCCTGAGGAGCTGGGACTACAATTTTTTGTATTTTTAGTAGAGATGGGGTTTCACCATGTTAGCCACGATGGTCTCGATCTCCTGACCTCACGATCCGCCCACCTCAGCCTCCCAAAGTGCTGGGGTTACAGGCGTGAGCCACTGTGCCCAGCCCCACGCCTAACTAATTAAAAAAATTTTTTTGTAGAGACAAGGTCTCAAACATCTGGGCTCAAGTGATCCTTCCACCTCGACTTCCCAAAGTATTGGGATTACAGGTGTGAGCCATGATGGCCCGCCTCTATGTCTTTTTTCTGTAGTTACATCTCCTTTTCTACTGTTAAGGACCCTTGCAGTTGTATTGGGCCTACCCAGATAATCCAGCATATTCTCACTGTTATAAGGTCAGCTGATTAGCAACCTTAATTCCTTCTACAGCCTTAATTCCCCTTCGCCATGTAACATATGAAACATATTCACAGGTTTTCAAGATGTGTACATGGAGATCTTCAGTGGGCCATTATTCTACCTACTATGATGATCAATATAAAAATTATTATGACATTTTACATATTTTCATTTTTTCATGCTATGCCTTTGAAATCTAATGTATTTTATATTGACAGCATTTCTCAATTCAGATAACCACATTTCAGGTGTTCAATGGCTACATGTAACCAACAGCTACATATCAGATGGCATAGTTCTAAATAATAACTAATATTTATGAGGATTTTGTGTAGAATAGTGCTATCCAATAGTACTTTTTATACTACAGAAGCCTTCTATATTTGTGTTATCTACATGGTTATTTAAACTTACATTTTTTTAATCAAATAAAGTTTAAAAATCAATTATTTAATCAAACAAGCCACAATTCAGAGGCTCGATAGTCACATGTGGCTAGTGGCTACCATATTGAATAGCACAGGTATAGAACATGGCAGCAACATTTCAAGTCTTAAAAAATGTGTTAACCAAATGCTCATATTAGTCATTAATTTTTTTTCGTATGAGCATTAAAGCAACCACAGAGCAACTTGAACAATATAGCTTTCTAGTATACTCTTCAGGATAAGAAGAGTTGCAAAATGTACACTTAAGCAACTGAATGAAGTGACTTTCTACATAGGTTTAACAGTCAATTCATTGAAAGTGGAAGAGCTAGTGTTTTTAGTGGCTTTATAGTTTATAAAGTATTTCACATAGATCAGAGATTTTTTTGTTTTCAGTGAGGATGTGTGTTTACCACGTGTTGGGGGTGGGTACAGTGAGTTCTCTATTCAAGTAAGATTGGAAGCTGGCTCAGAGCTCATCCAGTCCAGTCTCCCACAGGTATAGAAGTGCCCTGATAAAATCTCAGAGCTGACTGTCCAGTCAAGATTTGCATAACTCCAGAAATGGAGCTTTTACTACCCCTCGGAGTAGCCCATTCTGCTGTTGGGCACCTCCAATGGTCGGCATTTTCCTTCCAGCAGCCCCTTTCTTGGGTTGGGGGGTGGGCAGATACTGTCACTCCAGCCTGACCCTCAGGACAACAGAGGCAGCTGGGTTGGGAACAGAGGCAGAAAAAGCCATAAGTTAAATCCAAGAATGAACAGAGACACGGCAGGATGGGCAGGGACATTCCTGGGGTGCCAGCAGTCTCTAGCTTGATCCAGGAGGCACTGGGGAGGAGGTTGCTGATGGCAAGATTCTAGGCCGGAGGTGACTCAGAAGGCCGGGTTGTCAATGGCCCTCTGATCCCCGGTATATTCTTCAGGCCTGAAGCCGTAGTGAGGGGGTGGCTCTGTGGAAGTTGGGCCCCAGGTAGGCTTCAGAATCACCTCACTGTAGGAGGGTGGGGGCGCAGAGAGGGATGCTCTGACCCTCTCTAGGGGGATGATGGAGGGCAGTTCCCGGGGTCCCCGGCAATCCGTCAGGGCATCTGGGTCTGGGTCTCTGCAGCTGGGACAGTAGTGCTTAGCCAGTCACAGATGCACAAGAGGGGCAGGATGATCAGGAACATGATGACCAAGATCCTCAAGGGGCCAGGGAAGAACACATTCTCCTGGCAGCAGCTGTCGCCACAGCATTTGAATCCTTTGGGGCAGGCGAAGGAGAGACCACATTTGGCTGCAACCTTTTGGGGGCCAGCGAGCAGGATGAGCAGCAAGGTGGTCATGAGGCCAGGGACCCCAGATATTTTTTCTTTTTTTTTTTTTGAGATGGAGTCTTGCCCAGGCTGGAGTCCAGTGGCACGATCATGGCTCACTGCAACCTCCACACCTCCCTGGTTCAAGTCATTCTCCTGCCTCAACCTCCCAAGTGGCTGGGATTACCGGTGCATGCCACTGTGCCTAATTTTTGTATTTGTAGTAGAGACAGGGTTCACGATGCTGGCCAGACTGGTCTCGAACTCCTGACCTCAAGTGAGCCACCCGCCTTGGCCTCCCAAGGTGCTGGGTATATAGGCGTGAGCCACCGCGCCCGGCTAGATATTTTTCTTTTTTTTTTGTAAAGTCTCAGCCTGGGCGACATCGGGAGACCCCATCGCTACAGAAAACAAAAAATTAGCTGGGCATGGTGTCATGTGTCTGTGGTCCCAGCTACTCAGGAGGCTGAGACAGGAGGATCACCTGAGCCCAAGAGGTCAAGGCTGCAGTGAGCCGAGATTGTGCCACTGCACTCCAGCCTAGATGACAGAGCAAGACCCTGTCTCAAAAACAAAACAAAACAAGAGTCCGGTCAATTTTCTCGGTTTTTCTCAAGGAAGACATATAGGAAACAGCATGAGGAGATACAAATTGACACAAGCACAGGTTTATTTTGTCCACTTCCAGGGCGCCTACCCATGCTGGGTTTGCCTCACTCGGATAAGAATAGCCATTCAAGAACAACCAAGGTAAAACCAGCCACATTCTTTCATATTCCAAATTGCCAGCGCCTCCTCTAAAACTTAAGTTCTGCTTCTAAAACAGTGTATGCCAACATAGGGGAGGGAGTGGGAATGGGAGTGGATTTGAAGTCTCAAAATAACCAATATGATTTGGGGATTTTGGAAAATCATACTATTCACAAGCAAAATAAGCACGGTCTTAATATTCCCTGCTCTATAATCTTAAATATCAAAAAGCAGAAAAATTATATGTCTACAGTGATGGCTGGAAACAGCTGATACTTATATAGTATCAGACCGCAGTGGTCTCAGTGCTCCCCTCACATGGAAGCGAGGAGAGTGTAGTGCAGTGGAGGGTGAAGATTACACTTACGTCACATTGCTAATGCTGACTTACTGCAATGGAAGCACTGGAAGACTCCAACGTTGTTCATACAGTGAGGTTTCTGAAAAGGGAGTTTGCCGCCTTATGAACCAGAGTTTCTTTACTTTTGAATACAAGAGAAACCATTGTTTCCTACAAATCAGATAAACTACCAAAACTAATCAAGCTGCATGATACATTTTGTTTACCAAATGGCCAACATTGAGTGATGGTGTTATGATATATGGAAATCCACCAACAGTTACAGAATATAAAACTTCCTTAATGGCAAATATGGATACTTAAGGAGGTTACACAAAGCAGGAGTTAATACAGCATTATCCCCACAGTGTGTATTTATCAAGGTAATTCATTAGCTAAGATTGCAAATAACCCATAAATCTCAATGGCTTAACACAATGAAAGTTTGTTTCTTATTCACACTGCAGTCTGATGTGAACTGTCCTTTAAGCAGGTAACCGGTAGCGAAACCATCTGGAAGTTGGGTTGTCCAAGGTCACTATGGCAGGCAAAGAGAACTAAAGAACTCAGTTAAAAACTAGGCCTGGCCGGGCACGGTGGCTCAAGCCTGTAATCCCAGCACTTTGGGAGGCCGAGGCGGGTGGATCACGAGGTCAGGAGATCGAGACTATCCTGGCTAAC